CCCCAAAACCCCAAAACCCCAAAACCCCAATCCCTCTCACATTTAAATTATACTAATTAAGTAACCTGATTAGTAAGATGAAAGAAAGAGACTCTGAGAGTGAAGGTAGGTGGACAGTTTATGGGGTGATGGAGGGAGAGAGTGGGGGTCATTGTTCCAGAGGGGTTAATGGGGTATTTGTTGTGGCGGTTGTGAGGAAATTTAGAGTGATGCCAAGAGAAGTTATCGTATTAGATAATTATCATTATAGACCTTGAAGAAGAAATTGGAAAATTGAGCATCCTCAGTAGATCTGGAGTTTCAAGTTATGGAAAATAATTCAGAGTATTCTGAACCAATGGACCAAAATTACCCCACCCAATACCTCGGAGAGAATTTAGAAACAAATACCAAACTTCTAGAAACAGGCGAAGAGCCACAAAGAAGTGTCAATTACCAAACTCCAACTATCCTCAGTGCTGTAAAAATGGCTGGAGCCCAAGATAGACTAGACAAAGTGCTTTCCAGGAGTATTTTCAATTATTCTAATTTATAGGGAAGAAATAAACAACAAATTTCTCACAGCAAAAGTATTTCAGCAGCTGACGAAAAGATCTCGGCTAGGAAATCTAATCAGCCCCAGCCTGATGATGAAGGTCATGAAAGCGAAAGAGTAGACACACCAAAAGATGCTGTAAGACAAAGTCCAAGAGCCTCATCAGCAAAGGAGGATTTGTTGAAAGAGAAGGAAGATTCAAAACCAAAAGATGTAACTCGAAAATCAATTTTCCAACAAAATGACATCCGTCAAATCTATCAATCTGAGCTAGAATCAGAGATTACTTCAGATGAACGAGCATCAGACTCACAAAACTCAGGAAGGAAGTTCAGATGCTTATTTAGAGCGCATGATAAGAATAAGCTTCGGTGGGATCTTTACATCATGCTTCTTGCAACACTGAATTGTTTCCAAGTGCCTTATACCCTTGCATTTTCAGAAGAAGGGGAAGAACCACTCTTCTTATCAGTGATAAACTGGCTTCTGGATGTTTCGTTCATCATAGACCTAATAATAGGGTTCAGAAGTACATATGTCAATGAGAAGACAGGAAAAGAGATAGTTGATTTGAGATTAATAGCACTCCAGTACTTCAAAGGTCGGTTTTTCATTGACCTACTTGCCTCAATTCCATTTGACATCTTCTCCTTGTTCTTCTTCGGAAGAAAGGCAGGTGGATTTAGCCTTCAGCTGATCTCACTTTTGAAGTTAGTGAGAGTACTCAGATTATCAAAATTGATTGCTTTTATGAACCTTCAGAATGACATGAAGATGTCTCTAAAATTAATCAAGCTTGTTTTCTTCCTCATCCTCTATTTGCATTGAGCAGCTTGTCTTTGGTTTTACATCGTGAAGCAAAAAGAGATGTGGATCCCTCCTCTGAATGAAATCAGTGAGGCAAACAGCTTCTTTCTAAAAGGAAGTTTTGATAAGTACTGAATATCTTTGTATTACTCCATACTGACGCTGGCTGGGAATGACTTGTTCCCACAGGATACCACACAGGTTATCTTTGCGATCATACTTGTGCTTGCTGGAGCAATTATAAACGCGAATATTTTTGGTAACATCGCAGTATTACTTCAACAAATCAACAGAAAAGCTGCCAATTTTCAAGAAAAACTAGATAACGCCACCTCAGCAATGAAGTCACTAGGAATTGAAGAGGAGCTACAGAAGAAAATACAGCTGCATCTGATGTCCACTCAGGATTCTCTTGACCTTCAGGAGGAACTTAATTTATTCTTACGGATGCTGACTCCGAGCCTGAAATTGAAGGTAACCCAGCATATATTCATTGAAGCTATTTCTAGCAACCCTGTTTTCCATGGAGAGGAAGAAGCTATCGAAATAATGATTAAATCCATGAACCTCCTTTTGTTCTACCCTGAGCAAGAAATAGTCAAGCAAGGAGAGCCAGGCTATAAATTTTATTTCATAGCCCAAGGACAATGCGATGTCTTCATAAACGATGCATATAGCTCTCCGATTTATGAAAAGACTCTTGAAACAGGGAACTATTTTGGAGAAGTAGCCATTATCAAGAGTAAATTACTCAAATATAACCACTTTAGACTGTAAGAGAACCGCTACAATCAAGAGTCAAAGTTTCTCAACTTGATCTTCCCTAGAATACCAAGCTTTTCTGACTTTCCTTGAGGAATACCCTATTCTGAAGACAAACTTTACTGAAAGAATGAAGACTTCTTATAATGACCACTGGAGAAAATTCACAAGGAAATGCCTCAGGAATGTAGACTACCTTAAGAATGGAATCAGTGATGAAATTTTAGATGAAATCTCCTTTACACTAGAGAGTTGTAACCTCGCCACTGGATACCAACTCATCAAGGCTGGGACGATCTGTAATGAAATTATCCTGATCTGTTGTGGCAAAATTGAGGTGTCTATTTGTAATGTCACCGGTTCAAATTCTTACATTGACACACTATCTACTTGTAGTACAATTGGGTCTTACAGTGCACTCTCAGCAGAAGATCATATAATCAATGCTATCTGAAATACAAGCTGAAAGATCCTGATCCTAAAATTTGAAGTTATTGAAAAGTTAAGAGAGCAATATGAAGAACTCGACCTCAACCTTGAAAAGCATGAAGATTATATTGAAGAATATGGCATCCCTTACTGAGATTTTCATATATACCGTGAGACTGATGATGTAGCAACCCCTCTCCTCAAGTTCCAACAAGGGATACTTAGGATTATTAGAATCATCAAGGCCTATAAGACAACTAGACTTACTGATCTTCTCGGGGTGATTCAAAAAGATATTCGAAAATAAAAGGAAAGACAAACTCAAACGTAAGCAGAAACTTCTCCTCAGAAATCTCTCAAATCCCGATCAAATGACTCAAGAGGCGATCTTTAGTATGTTTTCTTTAACCTTCTAGCCCGTCTCAATGAGAAGATGGATTATATTACGTCAAAAGTTGAGTCTCAGTCTTGTCCAAACTGAGCTTGTAATTGAAAATCGAAACCTTCTTCGCTTCCAAAAGAAGCAAGTAAGGCTAAGCCTCCTCAGGAGGGACCTCCTAGATTGACTCCTCCTTCGATCGTGAATCACTTGCAGAAGAGTTTGACCCATACAATTAATGTAATTCCAAAGACATCGCCAAAGGAAGAAGATGATCCTGATGAAGAAAGTAGGGATATGCTGCCATCAATCCACCAGCCTCATCCACTTCAGTCTTACGAAACTTTACAAGTAGATCATCCTCTAATGCAGCAGAGTAAGTATCCAAACCCAAAGACATCACCTAACTCTCATGTTATAGGATCATTCATGGGTCCTTACCAGTTTGGAAGCAGGAAGTCCAAATAAATACGACACATGTAGTCTTGAAGCTTTTTTTTCTAACACCATTTATTGCAAGGAAAAGTCTTAACCACATACAATATTTCAATCTTTTAAGGCAAATAAGGGGTTTTGGGGTTTTGGGGTTTTGGGGTTTTGGGG